TTGCCTCGCTCTGCCTGCTTGAACACTGCCACGGCTCGCACACCAGTGACCTTCGCCGCGGCTGAAGCAAGCTCATACGGCAAAGAGAGAGACAATTGAAGAAATAGTAGCCAGGGCTCGGCTTCCTGAATCGGAACGCCGCTGGCTTTGTGCCGCGCCTGGGCGCTGCGGCATCACTTGAGGGTGCTAGCACGTAAATTTGGCGGCTGCCAGCGCGCCAGGCCTTCGAAGCAGCGGGCCAATAGCCGCCACCAGAGGACAGCTGGGCTGAGCGTGGGAAACACAAGCGGATGCGGAAGCAAAGGCTTGCGCGTGTAGAACTGTAGAGAGAAAGCCCTGCCATAGCACTCGGGATTCTCGGGAGGCGTGAGGTCGTGCACATCGGCGAGCTCAAACTCAGCATTGGCTACCAACAAGCGCCACTTCTCCGCGAGTGGGAAACCTGGCATCTGCTCACAGGAATGCTGCCATCGCGGTTGAGGATCGATTCTCCTGCACGTCACTGGGGCCTCTAGGGGGAAACGCTTAGGTACACGTGCTGCACGAAACTCGAGCCCACACTGCGAGAGTGAAAGAGCTGAAGCAACGCTGGACAGTGTGGCGAGGTTCCTGCATCAGAAAGAATAGACACACGAGCTCGATGCGACAGCGACTGCGAAACAACAAAGTAGTCGATGACACGACCAGCAGAGGCGGCAGCATTAGTGCAAGTGGCAACCGATGGGAACAAGCAAACTCCGTCTAGCGCTTCCACCCAAAGACTGCCCTGGATCTCCTCAGGGGGCATCTGGAAATCTCCACAGATAACGAACGCAAACCTACAGCTTTCACCACCTGCCCCACGTCAGTGAGGATGGCCCAATTCTTCTTAGACAAGCCCTCAGAATGGCGAAGGTACAAGTTGACCCACAGAAAGCCTAGAGGGGTGAGGCCATGACTGTGCAGAATGCGAACACGGCCCTCGTGCAGAACGCTAGGCACGCACTCAACCTCAGACAAGCCAGCGGCCGCGGGCACACGCTGCAACAGTCCTCCTAATGTGCCACCTTGCGAGGTGGCGGCGGCCGCAGTGAAGGCGGCGCGCCATCCCATACCACGAAGTTTGCGCTCCCAGATGTCGCGCCTGTCTCTCAACATGTGGTGCTCCTGCACAGCGACTGCAGCGGCACCTCGAATCTGCTCATGCCGTAGGGCGGCCTCCAAACCGCTACAGCCAGACACGCTCACGGTGGCCAGGGTGAAGCTAAATATCCGACTCAGCAACCCCGTCCACGCGAGCCTTCTTCTTAGCGGCCTCGATGAGCTGGTCAAAGATCCCTTGGACGAGCTCGTGCTCGACACCCTGCTGATCGACTTCGGACTGAACCTGCTGCCCGGCGCGCTGCTGCTCCAGCCAGGCGAGCCACTCAGTGTGGGAGGCCTGGGCGCGCTGCCGCACTGCTGCTGCGTCGCTGGCTGCGCGTGCGGCGCGCTGCGCCTCGGCCTCGGCCTGCGCCATGCCCGCGGCCTCCCGCACAGCCGCCTCCTCTGGGGTGGCTGGAACGCGCGCGGCGGCCCCACCAAGCGGCTGAGCAGCAGCCGCCTCGGGAGCGCCGTCGGCAGCAGGAGTGACACCAGCGGCACCAGCAGCAGGAACACCAGCAGCCCCTGCAGCAGGAGCGACGCCCTGCATGACCACGTCGGGCTCGGCGAGCTGCCGCAGCGTGGGGACAAGCGCCTGCAGCTGCTGAGCGAAGTCGGTAAGCCTAGGGTCCGCCTTGAGCCCGTCCGCCAGGGCAGCAAGCGCCTTCGCGGGGTCCACCGACTGCGCCATGCTCTGGTCGGCCTGGGCAGCGCGCGCGGCAGCCTCCGCACAGCGCGCCTTGGCCTCGTCGGGCTCCTTCTTCGCCGTCGCCGCCGCCGTGACTGCTTTGAGGGCTGCCTCCTGAGCACGGTCGTAGGCCCGCTGCGCCTTGTCGCGCTTGTCGGCCAGGACGTCCTGCTCGACGCGTGCCGAGCGCGCCTCCGCACGCGGCCCGCCAGCCCGTAGCGCACGGTGGGCGGCCACCTTGGCCACCAGCTTGGGCGTCCAGTCAGCGGAGACGGCCTCGAAGTCAGCAGCCTCGAGCTTGGCATAGATGTCGATGGCCGAGGGGTCCAGGTACGAGAGCTTGCCGCCGCCCTGCCCTGACCCTCCACCGCCGTTGGCACGCTTGCCGCCACCGCCGCCACTGCCTTGACCGCCTTGGCCGCCGACCTGAGGCGGCCCCTGCAGCCAGGCGCCCAGAGTGCGCGTGCCCTCAGAGGGGGCAGGCGCACTGGGCGCAGGGCGGCCGCACGCGCGGCAGTGCGTGCGCGTGAGGAAGTTGGAGCGGTACCGGCACCGCTTGTGCTGACACTGCCAGGTATCGAACGTGGCGCCACCATGTCTCTGAGGGGCCATCCGGCCCAAAATGCGGCTCTCGCCTCAGCGCCGCGCACATTCGATGTGAACATTTGAGGGTTCACGGACCAAGGACAGGTCGTTTAAAAAATGTGGCTCTCGCCTTAGCGCCGCGCGCATTCGTTGTACAAATGCACAACACCTTTACAAATCGAGGACACATATTTTTCAAAATCTGGTCCCCGCCTTAGCGCCACGCGCATTCGCTTTCAAACCTGCAAGAGCTGCACGGATTGACGGCGGCTCGTTGTCAAAATGTGGCTCCCGCCTTAGCGCCATGCACATTCGTTTCAAACAAATGCGAGAGTTTTGCTAATTTCCATGGTGAACATTCCAGAAGTTCTGTTTTGGAGCGATTCAGCAGTGTCAGGGCGTTAGGTTGATTCGCGGTGTCGAGGTCCCAGGAATGGTGTCCAGGCACGATTCAGGATCGCCAGGACGCAACAATCAGATTGAATCGTAGCGCTGAAGTCCTGAGAATGGTGTTCCTGCACGCGTCAAGATTTTCACACGCTTGTCCCCCGACGGCGCCCTCAGTGGAAATGGACCCTTAGATGGGGCCTATGAAGAGGGAGCTTGGAGGAAGGGTGTGTGTTCGACATCGTTGATGAGCCTTGGGTTCACACTGGTCCTCCGCCTCATCCTCCTCCAACTCCTCCTCCTCCTCCTGCTCCTCCCCCATCTGTCCACTTGGATCCCTTATACTCGAAGAGGAAGACAAGGAAGAGAGAACGAAGAGCTCCACTTATCACCGAACCTCTCTCCACCCGAGCGCCTTCCCCGCGGCTGCACCGATGGCCTGCACGACCCGCTCCAATACTGGCAAAGAGGAAGAGGGAGGGTGACGGGAGGGAACAGGACGACACGCCCAAACGCGACAGCGCCGAGGAGAGGAGGCGGGGAGGCGACGGGCAACGGATGGGGACCAGAGGCAAGACGAGGAAGAGAACGGGACGAGACAACTGGCCGACGGCCTGCCGACGCGACGCACATTGACCACAGCCCTGCCGGCGGCCACCCTCGGACCACGTGCCGCGCACCCGCTGACGCGTCGAGTGGCCGACTCGCGGGCCCCGTCGCCCGAGCCACCCGGCCCAGCAGCCGCAGAGCAGCACTCTAGGGACTCCCAGCACACGAGCTGCAGAGCACGAGCTGCGGCGAGAGGAGCCGCGTGATGTAAAGTGCCGGCAAGAGCGCGCCGCGTCCACGGCACGAGCCTCGGCGAGAGACGCCTCATGAAACAGCTCGGCGAGAGAGAGACAACTCCGGGCGAGCCTGGGAGGCGAGCCCCACTCACATGTGGTGACGACGGCAATGAGAACAGGGAAGGCCCCGGGCAGCAGACGGAACACCGGCGGCATAGGCGAATGAGCGGCGGGAAGGCGAAGAGCATGCCAAAGAAAGGACCGAAACGTGGCCAGTCAGTCAAGTCCGGTCGAGGGGCCTATGGAAGCACCTCGCTCCGCAAGCGGAGCCGGAGGGCGTGAG